TAGCACTAATCGCTTCCGTTGCAGCTATCGAATGTTACGTTCGTACGTTTTCAATTTTGTACTTTTAACTTTCTACTAAATAATCAGCTTAGTAGTGTAGGGGAAAACGCTTTGAAAAACTGCTGTTGAGAACGTAGTTTTTCGAAATTCTGAGTCTGTCACTGACTGTGTTCGCAATCAGTCTGTCAAAGGGCAAAGGCTCGACTAGTGCACGTGGAAGTTGGCATCCATTTACAGTTACTTTTATTAACATTCCGAGGTGCAACAACAGTTCAAGGGCTCATTATGCTTTTTTTACAAGGCGAAGGTTCTTTTAGGGCAGAGCCGATCTTTTCAAAAAAGCTTCTTTCTTGGATGTGCATATTGTAGGGACGCATGTAGGGAACGCAAAACCATGTTTCATTTTCGCTGAACGGTCATAGCAGTACCAAAAAGAAGCTTAAGTACTGCCAATGGTTCGGTCCCCGTGGCGACTAATTTTTGCATTTGGGTTGGCGCCTGCGGGCCGGTGCCAAATCGCGCTAAATGTCAAAATCAGATGTCGCTCATCGTCAGGACCATTTCGAAGGCAACAAGTGACCGCGCCAAACTTGATTGCCCAAAATTTTAAGTCGCCGCAGGGCGATCGACAAAGGATACTCATTCACCACCTGTTTTTCGATACTTACTAAAATCGTTCAGTCGGGACAACTAAACATGGTGGCGGCTAGTCCCAGGAGACTAACCGGTTTCCGAAAGCTGCCGACTTTCCTGGGAAAGATCGCCTCCCCGCTTCGTGGATATTACAGGTCGAGATTGCCTTCGACCCCTCACTAGTGCACGCAGCGCGCAGTTGAGCCACGTTTTAATCCTTTCTTTAGCGAAGACGCCGACTTTTTTTGAAAAGGCCGTGCCATCGGAGCTCTTCGTTTCACTGGTACGTTTTCGATTTAGCCCTACATACAGCTGCGTAGCCAAAGTTATGTGGGACACCCTTAGGATCGATGGCTCAGGAGTCAGCTAAAGGCTTTTATGTTTATGAACCCTCCACCATAATTGGGACATTCTCCCGCCAAAAGATTTTCGTTCTAACTTAGCGAACTATTTTTCATGGGAAAGTTTTTTCTTTGTATCAAAATTATGTGGACACCCTGAGGCAGATGAAGTTTTTGCATCGATTTCCTAACCTATTTTTACTTCTCCTTTCGTTACTTATTCTGGCATCATTCCTCTTCACGGCAAGCGTTTTTCTGAAGAAGACCGAGCACAGAAATGGGATCCCCATGCTTCTGAACCTTCCTATTGCGAAATAGCACGTCAACCAGTCATGCGTCCTCGTAGGTTTGGAGAGAAATCCGAAATCCTGATGCTAAGCTCTCGACCTTGACTGAGGGTTGTTCTCAATCGCTACTTGTTCAAAACAGGAGAAGAATAGCCTTAATTTTCTCAAATTATTCTTTTCGTACTACTCAACTTTACGCATAAATGATCTTCCCGATCTTAAAAAAGACCAATCGGTGTCTCATTCAATCAATTGAGCACACGACACGAAAGAAGATGAAGAAGGCTTTGTATATGAATGCGGGTTCAGGTTGGCAAGGTTGAAATTCCCACTCAAAAAAAGATCACAACATGATACCTCGAACCCACACGGACAGCGATTTCGTGGAGATGGTAAAATTAGTATAAAAGACTTTCTGTAGAAATTTCTTCCATAGACCAACTCGACTGGCAGAAAGAAGCTTATTCCTTACTATTCGGGTGGGTCTTGAGGTTTTTGGAGAGACTTTGGTCGGACCCGCAGATGTGCTCGAAGAGACAATTCGGAAGATGTTCATCAAAGGTCTGGGGTGGTTCCAAAAGGAGGGGGACATTGAAGTTTGGCTTGCCAACATGTCAGGTAGACGACTAGGATTATAATGAGGTGCTTGAGTCCCGGCTACAACCTTTTTCGAAAAGTCATGGTTGCAAATCACTTGTTTTGCAGGGGAGGTCCCTGACACCATTCCATTTGGAAAAATGCTAAACGCAACGGCTTTGATTGGCAAGTCGGCTAGCGTATTCCTCAGACTTCATCCTTATTGAAAACGTAGAGGTATCGTGGTTCGCGGTCTCTACGTCATTGAACAAAAGAGTAATATCACAAGTGACCTAACACGTCGGTGAAATTTGCTAGTTGGGAACAGATCTGCAAGACATGTATCCAGACCCCATTCATAGCATGCCAAACAGAATGGCTCAACTTACTAGAAACTTTGGTAGGCCTACCGATTTCAGATTTTGAAGATATTGCCGTTTTTCAAAAAAGCATTATACGAAGTTATTACGTGTCACATAATTTTGATACAAAGAAAAAACTTTCCATGAAAAATAGTTCGCTAAGTTAGAACGAAATCTTTTGCCGAAAATATCATTGTAGGTTATCGACCACTAGGAGTTGAATGGTGGAGGTTTCATGACATAAAAGCCTTTAGCTGACCCTGAGAATCGATTCTCGTATAGGGTAGCGCGCGCGTCGTGATCCAGTGACGCGGAGGGTGGGCCACGTACTTTTGGTACGCAGCTGCTCAATTTTACTGGCGGAACCGGCAAGAGATTGCAGACAGATGTGCGTTTTGTATTGCAAAGTGGCCTCTCTCGTCCTTGGCGCGGACTGATACAGATGCCGCTGAGTAAGCGTTTATGTAGCACTCTCTCGCAATGAGGTCTACAATAGTTCCGCATTCCTGCTCGATGCGCAATACAACTTTGGATGGGCATGTCGAATTTTTGGAATCACGGTAGCGCGCAACACTGTACGTAATTGGGAGCTGGGGTCGGCCGACTACTAGAACGTGAGAGCTAACGCTATGAACAGTGGCCCTCACCTGTCAAACAGCGGAGAAACTGTCGGCGTGGGGCAGAACGGAGTGCACACAAATTGGCGCGGCCTGGGACCAAAATGTTAATGTTTGTCTTGTCAATAGAAGATCCATTAGTACCTGTTGCAGTGTGTCATTCTTATCCGATTGAGCCATTAAATTACAACTATCATGTTATCAGAAAATCACCGATCACGGATGAAGGCACACTTAGCTTAATCCAGATTTACTTAGAGGTCGTCGTCAGTTGTGGTGTTTGATCTGCACCCGACACTTTCTTGCTTTTTGAAAGGGAGGTCAACTCACACATTCCAGCTTCCCACGCATGTCAAGTGACTGTTCATGCCCTCCCTAGATTGACTACACTCCTCTAGGCCTCAAGAAAGTGTCTACTCGTGGGACACCACACTAGCGGGGGCAGTCCACAGCTTACAGTGACATATTTCGCGCTTAGAGCGTATTGAAAAAATTTTACAGGTCGTCGCATATCCGGTACTTGTATTGCACTAACCCTGCTTGCCACAAAATGAGAGGTTGCTGCTTTGAGCACGCGCTTAACGTGGGCGCTTTCTGTACTGTCACTGTAGTGCTGCTAAAAAAATGCATATTCTATGCATCGTTCTTGTAGAACAGAATGCGGCCCTAAATGGTGGATCTTGAGCTCTCAGTACCATAATGTTTTTGTTGTTTATTTCCTTGTGAATGCTGCGGAATGAAAGGTCGCGAAGTCTAGTTCGCGAAGCGGCTGTTTCCTTGACAATTTGGCCTTTATCTATGGTGATTTGGATCCACGTCGCTGTCCGGTTCTGAGAATTTTCTTATGGAATTGGAGAGTGTTGTGTTGCTTGATTTATCTCCTCATTCTCACCCGCGTTTGGTTTTTTCAAATTCTTTCCCCAGCCGTCACGCTTCCTCGAAGGCCAAGAAGATAAAATGACATAGGTTGGATGCATATTAGTCAATGGGAATAAAAACAGGAAAACAGCAAGTTGAGGTGAAACTCCAGTTCGGGGGGGGGGGCCACACTCCATTGCTATCTTATCCGTAGTACTAGAGAGCAGTTCTTTGGGCTATCGAACACTACGGATAAGATAATAAGTGAACGACTCATTTCGAGCGTACTTTTGATAAGGACCGGTGGATGTCCTACATTCCACACTACCTGCCCACATCCCATCCACTTTTCTGCACAGGTGATCCACCCTGGAGCTCCTGCACCCTTAGCCCTTTGCGGAGGTGTCCTTTCTCCTGGTCCAGGACCGTTCCCTTGGGTCATGGCAGGCGGAAATGTGAAAACGTTTCAGGGTTTCTCACCCATTACACCAATATTTATCAGAAGTCTACTTTAAATGAGTCGATTACGTGTCGTGAGCCCTCTAATCCTTTATCTTCGTGAGTATTGGGTGGGAGGGAGGAAAAATGGGAGGTGGCCTCCTGAAGTGGGGGGGAGCTTTCACCGCTGGGCACCTTGTTTACCCCCTTGCGTGTCGTGGCCTGTACATGGGTGCGCAGCAGCCGCTTTTTAGGGGTTTATCCCGAAATTTTGCGTCACGGCTTACTAAAAGCACCGGACTACTGTGGAAACAGAGGGGGAACTACCATAGAGGTGGACCTGCATCCTAGTTGAGGAGTAAGCGCCTCTCATCTATTACTGGGTGAAAACCTTAGTCGCAGCTCCCTTTTTTGTTGGTCAATTTGTCGGTGGAGAGGGCCCCGGTCGGGCGCCGCGCTATAGCAACGTCGCGTGACAGAAACTAGGCGCAACGGATGAATTGGAAGGGCTTGAAATAGCAGAGATGGCGTCATTCAGTCTTCAGCTCCTTTTTCTTGGTTGTTTTTTATCGAATGTCCGTGCCATAATTTGGGGCCCCGCCCGCGCGCGGCACACGCGTGTATTGCGATGATCACTTTCATCCACAGGAAATGTTTGCTTACAGAGGCCCTATTGGACGACAGCAAGCCAACAAGGACACTCAACTGCATGTTCACTGATTACTGCACAAAGTCAGCAGAATTTTTTTTTTTTATTTTACCACCATAGTTTATTTATATGTGTGCTTTGTATTTCTATTTCCATCTATACATGTTTTTTTGGGGTCATATTATCATAACTGGTCACTATTCGATCTTGCCGATTTCACAAAATATCACTTATTGAAGGGCAGTAGCGAGGAGCAACGATCTGCTTGTGAGAACATATGGTTCTGCAGTGGCGGATTGTGTTTGGTACGTTAAGCAATGAAACATCTTTACCCTGAGTTAGGAACTTTTAAGATCATCCTACTATCTTTTATATTGCATTGAAGGCAGCGATTACGATTTAAAGTATGGGTGTAGAATCCCCCCCTGGGAAGTTTCGGGTCAAGTGGATACAATATCCAGTGAAGACGGAAATAGAGCTGTCCGTTTTCGCCGGGAATTGGTGCTAGTGTTAAGCACAGTAAGCTTCAGGATCTAATAAAACCGTAGCGCTCCAAAACCGCCCTGCCCATCAGTGTATTGTCAGTAGCATTCAATATCGTTCGCGTTTCGTTTCGGGAGAGCATTTCATTGCAAGCAACCGTATCTTCTGAGTTGTATGCGTAATGCGTTATCAATTCCACGATGTTTGAGGCATAATGCCGGTTTCAGGGATTAAAACGTCCAAACGAATTTCTTCACATGGTTAGTTGCTGGTTCGTCTATAGACGAAAATAAACGAACAAAGGGGTCACGTTTTTCATGTTCATGACGCATTTCTGTGGTTTTTTCGCCAGTACATATAGCACCCCGTTCCACTGTGAAATTACCCAGGTTCTACGTAATCGCCGCCTCAAAGGCGGATTTTACGATGAAAAGGTAGCTTATTAGAAAAAAGGGTAGAGGTGGTCAGTGGAGCAGGGATGAAGAAGAAACATGTGAAACGCCGGAACCCGAGAAATGGGACCCCTTCTTGCCCGTTGATTTTCGCATTGATGCGACTCGCACTCTCATCGTGCCCTCTTCAACGCTAACGCTCTCTCTGCTATGTCGGTGGGCGTTCCGGGCCAACTGCGCCAAAGGGAAGGCCATGCCAGATCGCCGGGGGCATATCCTTCGATGCGAATTGCGTGTTGGTCCGCACCCTTAGGGGTCCGCCTGTCTTCTCCACTAGGTAAGTTTCCCCTTCTTCGACCTTCGTTCCTTATCGTGGAATCCTCCTTTAGGATTATGGAAGCGCAGAGTACCTCATTGCGGTTCCATGTCCCTAAGATCAAATCAATTTACCAGACCCTGAATGTCGAAACTATTCCTGCATCTTCGGCAGGCCTTAGTGGTCTTGTTGAACGGGGTTAAAAATAACCCCGATGTAGGTTGGAGGCGATCGTTCGAATCCATCAATGCATGTGCATATGTTGCGAAACAAATTGTTTGCTCAAAAAATATCGGGGAGTGCGCTGCTAATGCACACATCTGGATGAGGACGAAGTCATTCGTTTAAAAATATCACATGCTCTGCGACGAGTCAGTTTCTTTTTGGATACCTGGCCGATAAATGGGCGAACGGAACTGAGAAGAGGGTCCGTCTGGCCTAGTCAGAAGATTTGAAACATATTCTTGTGAATTCAGACGAAGAAATTTGTATTTGGAGAGATGAAATCGTACTTTTTGAAGGAAGTGTTGCAGGAGGTAATTTCCGTGGAATTTCATGCATTTTGACGATAGAAAAATTCCCGAAATTTTGATAATTTTGGCAAGTTTCGCAGTTTGAAAGGTTATGGTACCCTCCTACTAGATATTTGCTTTTG